ACAGACAGACAGAGACACACAGACAGGCAGATACACGTATATTTATAGATATGTGTGCATATATATATATATGTGTGTGTGTGTGTATATACATATACATATTGCGGCCGTAGAGCCGAGCAGAGAGCCTGCTTCCGAGGAACGTTGCTGCTGCCATCGTTCATGCGGTTTCCTTAAATGTCGTTGGAGCACTTCATTCCCTGTGTCCCGGCAGCAGAAGAGAACAGCTTCGAGGCTTTTGTGGCAGCCGCATGGTTTGTCACTGAAGAAACAAGCAGGACACATCTCTACTGAAACCAGGGTAGTCTCAGAAATCATTTCGGCCGTTGACACAGTCAGTGTCAGCGATGTATTGGCCGTGGGTAGAACATTAGCAGAAGTGTTTTTAGAAGGTTTAGTGTCCTCATGCATTGCCTCGGTCCTAGTGTAAGGGCTCCTGGAACCATACTCTACCATTGGTCCAGAAAGTTTCAAACATTGACAGTATGTTGAGCATAGCAAGAATGTTCGACTAGTTGGCATCACTGTACTGCCCCTATATAGCAGCTGCACGACACTACCATCCAACATCTTCGTCGCATCGTTGCTAATGCTGTCCATGTTGTGAAGAGAAGGGGCGTAGAGCGACAGCAGCTGCACGTTAAGCATTCGTAAGCTTGCTCTTCGAAATCTAAGGGTTGCTAGCCATTCTCCTAGCACTTCAGGTTCCATGCCCAGCCAGCATCTCACCAGTCGATGAGCGCATGCCGTGTTCATCGTGGAGTGTTTAGGGCATATTCATCACATGCTCAGTGTGCCGGTAGAGTACTTTGGCCCTGCCTGGCACGGCTACGGCAGCATGCATCAAAGATCATCGGTAATAGCCACGCCCCTGCCAGAATGATTACTAGCATTCGCACAGCCACTAGCATCTCAGTCTCACCAAGGCTACTGTAGCGTATTGCACGCAGTATAGTATGATTGCTGGTCATTGGTGGCATCCGTACTCTTGTCGAGATAAACCCACGACACCGCCAAGAGATGCGCCTTCAACGATGCTAGTGCTGCATAGCCATCGGCGTTTGGAACAGGCGCTGGCATCCTGCAGTATGAACCAACCCAAGCGTCATCAGCATGCATGCCTGGCAACATGCAGGACACATGTAACTACGGATAGTAGGAGAACTCCTTCCTGCCCGTCGTATTCAACATGCCCACAGCTTTCCTAACACGCATGGCCACCCGCTCTTGGCACTTCCAACCAGACTGAAGGATTCCGAGCGTCTCAATCACTGCCTCGGGGAACAGGGGCATCATCGACAGTTCGATGGACCCGGCTTTCCTGCGTTAGCATGCATTAGCAATTCGGGGGGGCCTGGAGTTTAGGGGCTTCATGTGTTGAATTGCGAGTGTTTGGGGTGTGTTTGTGTTGAGGCTTGACAGGGGGGTGCAATCTTGCCTGGAACAAAGGTTCTCGTTTCAAGGAGAGGCAAAGGACAAAGGACCTTCACGAACGGCCAGAGCGGCTTTCCCTGAGCTTGTTGCCGATGTCTTCACATTCAGAAAGGACGGGCAGGAAAGAGCAGCTCAGACCTGACATGAAGAAGGCCCCATCTGCAGGTGTCCGAGTCTGTAGCAAGAAACCCTCCACAACCTACGTCAGAGCAGTAGTGAGAACAGCAATGCCAAGAACATAATACAACAGAGTGCTTATCGGAAGGGGCCGCTCATGAAATTAGAGGCCCTGAAACTCCGACTTTGAAAGCCCAAGCCCCAAACTCCTAAGCCTAAGCCCTCTCCCGCCTCAAAAAGGAGCCCTAAAACCCCTAGAAACCCAGCAAGCTACTGTCAGCCTCCCGGGTCCCCCCTAATCTCTGCCTCGAGGACCGCTGCCTCGAGGCTCTTCGCGAAGCCCGGGAGCCATACCTGGACAAATGAACCCCAGCTGCGGTTTTTGGGGAGTTGGGGCTTCTTGGGTTAGGGTTGAGGGGTTGAGGGCATCTTGTTTTTGGGTTTGGGGCTGAAGGGTTCGGGGGAGGGTTGTGAATGTGTTGTGGTTTGCGGCTGCTTTTGGCGAACTACAGAACGGCGGTTGCTACGGGGTGCCAGCTTTCGACTTTTCCGTGTAAGTATGGTCTCAAGTCGTGGTATCGTTTGCTCTTCACATAGGCCAGGTAATTACTCGTTCCTGTGTTGGCCCCGTGCGAGGGGCCTCCAGTGACTTAAGGCTTTTTCTGGCATGGCAGGTCTGCCCAGCACGTCGTTCTACAATGGAGCCACTCGTTTAGCTCAGCAGTCTTCCAGCCTTCCTTGTCGTCTTCGATCCTGGTCTCGATCCTTGGCGGAGTCACGGGAAGAGAGGCATGGTACCCGTCCCTCATTGCTGCCTAAAGCTGGGAGACCTGTAGCCACGTTCGCTGTAGTTTTGGTAAATACTGTCCAGAGAAAGGCACACATGAAGCACCACTGATGGCATGCACGGCGCGGACATACCAGCGGCTGATGCAAGGTCTGGAGGGTTTTGCATTCGTTTTGCATTTCAGGGTTGACGTCCAAACCAGCTTTGAATCCTGAACCGGCCTAATTAATTACTCTGCGAAGATCAAGGACGTCAACGTACCTACGCTTGGAATTGCACAACTGCCTTGTGCTTCCAGACCCTCACTCGTCGCAGAGGTCCACAGATCGGTAACCAGCAAAATCGTGACGTTGTAAACTTTTCTTGGTTCTGGTGGACGCAGGCGCGCTCTCCCAGCAGTGGTGGCCTCTCATGCACAACTCTGCAGGGACTTACGGGTCGATCGACCTGGGGTGGCTCGGCGGATCACTCAAAGAACCCTAGAGTAGTAGTAATCGTCGCTGTAGCAGTATTAGTAGTAGTAGTAGTAGTAGTAGTAGTAGTAATTATGAGTCTATGAGTAGTAGGCGGAGGAGGAAGAGGACGTGTATCTGTTGGAGTAGGAATAGGTCGGGAGGTAACTTGCTGTAAGGGTAGTGACAAGGAACCAAAAGGAAGGGGGCATTGCATTAGCAGATGTAGCAAGACCAAGACACGGCAACTTGTCACAAGCATCTTGTTTCGGAGAGCATTCGGAAGATGCATGCATTCCTATTTGGAGGCAGGACTCCAGAATATCTTGTCTACAAAAACGTAGCGGGGTCTGGGATCCCGAGACTTGCCCCCCAGTTTTTGAGTCTAGCCGGCAGATTTCTGGCGTTTGTCGGACCACGTTCGGCATGTTACCTGAGGCCAGGGTACATGGATATGCCATTCCCCAAATTTAGCGCAAACAAAACGAGAAGTTCCGAAAAGAAGCAGCACCTCGCCCTAGAGTCTTGACCCTGTCACTGCAGTCCGTGAGCTACAGGCCCAAGCATCACACCGGAACCTCTTATAGCCGAGGTACAGCTACGACAGCCTCATGAGCTCGCTGAAATGTGCCGGCAAGGGCAGCTGCCTAGAAAAAGGCCTCGCCGACATGGAGAAGGAGGAGACGACACGTGCATGCCTGTATGCCGTATACTACTTTGTGCGCATGCATGCATACATGCCCGCATGGTTGCTTGCATGCATGATTCATGATTGCTTGCCAAGGGGCCTACGTATGCACATCCACACATACATACATACACACACACATTTGCAGCCGAAACAGTGTGCAGATGTCGTGCTGTGGAGTGAGCTGCAGGTTGTTCCGTTCGCATTCTGAGGCTAAAGAATTCAAGTTGTACTGCTAGATCCCAACCTTGGATGTGTCGTCCTGACGTTTCTCTCCCCTCGACGGCTACTCTCAAAAGTCAACCGTCTGCTGGAATATGTTGCTTTTGTTCACGTCAGGAGAAGGAAGAGTGGAAGACGATTGGCGAGAACCTTGGCCGCAAGCGGAATTAGAATCGAGGCTTGAGGGTCAGTAAGATTGCATGCCGGGCATTGGGCCTCATACTCAAGTGCAGGTGCAGGTAAACTGCAGGAAGCTGTTACTAGTGCCGCGATGACCGGTGACACTCCGTATTCTCCTGCCGCTGCAGCTGCTGCTGCTGCCGTAGCGCTCTCGAAAAAGACGCTGCTTTCCGAAAATAGCTGTCTCTGAGTGTTGTTGCAAAGCTGCAAAAAGCACATCACATTCTCACAGAGCCCTAGCGAGACCAAGGCAGTAATCATTAGCTCTTGTACTCTGTCACCCAGCGCCACGTGAGGATACCTCATCGCGCATGAGTGTATAGGACAAACCAGTGGCAACTGGTGACATTTAAAGGCTTCTTGGCAAGAGCCCTCAGAGAAGCCGTGTTGACAAACGGTTTCCATAGCATGAGGTCAACGCAACTTAACATATCGTGTGCCCTATAAATTACAATACAGATCTACAACATTTTGGTGGCTGTGATGATCAGCACCTGTCTTTCAGATTGGCATTAAGTTACTTGCTGGCAGACTTTCACGGGAGCGTTCTTCCGATGGCATATAGGCAACAAAACATACAACTTCTACTAGCAGCTTCTGCGCCAAGACTGGGATGCCAGTTTTTTTGGCAGATGCATGCTACGCCACAGCCCAGGAACTCGTCTGCTGCAGAAGCTGACCGCTTTGCCCAGCTGCAATGTTCGTTTGCTGGAAATCGTGTGGATACAGAGGACCGAGGGGAGCCTTAAAACTACACCCTGAACCTTACTGTAAGCGCAACCCTAAACCACGGGGCTCCAGATCTGGTTAAGGGGGCAGGGGGGGCCGTGGCAGAGAAGCTCTGCAGGACACGGCAAACAACAAGCTGCCCGTGTTCACTGACAAAATCTGGGCGGCAGCCTTGAAGGCCTGAGGGAATGAGAGCGCAGTGTTCTGTTGGAAGAGTTACAACGCTACACCTGTACGTTGTGTTCGTTTAGCAAGAAGCAACCATATGAACTGCACGGTGCTACTGGTACTTGCATGGTCGCAGCATTGAGAAAGGCTCGTTTGAAGTAGACGGTAACGAGCAAGCAGTATCCACTTGTGTTTGTATCATCCTCTAGTACCATTAATTACC